TTAAACAATAATCTTTGTCAATTTTATTTTTCAGTCTTTATGATGGTGGATACTTGATCTATCTCTTACTGTTATATCCCCGGGCAACGCCGGGCTCTACTGCTAGTTGTAAATATATTTCATTAGCGTTTTCTATTCGACTTTTCTTGGTCATATATACTATCTTTAAATTCTTCAGTAGTAACTAATATCTGTAATTTCAGGTCCCTTCTTTAGATATTTTAAATTTTTAAGTTATCACTGCCATATAGAGAATTCCATATTAAATTTCAGTTTAGCAATCTTTTCTTGAATTCTTATAATTTTAATAGCATTTATTATTTCATTCCAATATGCCTTCAGATTTCTATGTCGTATTTTCTATCTGTTATTAAACGAACAAGAGAGATAACTTTATGTACCGTGATTTTGATGGCCCAACACTTCTCTTGCATGACAGTAAACGTTGCATCATTTATTAAAAGTTGAATAGAAAACTGGAGGCAGAAGAAATGCGGTTTTACAGAAGGATAGTAAGAATACCATAAACGGATAGGGTAAGCAACGACGAAGTCTTAAGGAAAGTGGAAGCAAAATTAGACGTATCGAGATTATCAGAAAGAGCCAACCAAAATTTCTTATACAGAAAAAGCCTGAGGGATGGTTTGGAGAGTTAGACACACACACGACACATGTAAAGGAAAGGAATAGAGAGAAGCAGGATATCATCTATCTGACGAGCTTGTGCGAATATATGGCGTAACTTGGGCGGAGAAATCTTGGTAACAGTATATATGTTGTTAAGGGCGGAAAGAAATAGGAGGATGTTGCGAGCCATGATCGACCACGTCCTGAAGGGCCAAGATATACAGAAGTACCAGATTAATTAGTGTACATAATGTGTCCTTCCATTTGCTGGTATCCAGGAATTTCTTTCTTCATACAAAAGCTTGTTACCAAAATTATATTCCTGTCGTATACTGGTAACTTAATAACTCGAGTAATAAACAATGGTAGACGTTAACAAACTTGTAATAACTTGTAATAATTGCCATAAGGAATTTAAATAAAAGAGTCTATCAACAAAAATGGGATCTTCTACAAAACAGCACATTGGCTGTTAATTTTTCTGTAATAAATGCAGAAAAACATTCCAACACGCCACAAAAATGCTTCACTGGACGCAAGTTAGATGATCACATCATAGTTTGCAAATATCCAAACGGTTTCTGAAGCCAAAATATTGACCAGAAAAATCGTGTCTTATCTTGTATGAAATAGCACCTCATTATCACAGTACATGAACTGTTATATTTCTTTGAGATACTGTTCAACGTATTGCTATAAACTCAGTTTTATGTTTGTTTGGAACAACTAATATAACACATGTCATAAGAACCCACTGGACGTTATGAAACTACGATCAGCTTACAAAGTGGATTGTTAGCATGTAATGTTCATGATATCATAGCGCATTTGCCACACCCGCTATCTGTAATAGTAACTCATCCACACATTTCGCAAGTCCATCAGGGTCTATTTAGTAAACCGTGTTGAGACGGACTGATACTAAAGAACGCTGAATTTATTCGAATTGCTGGATAAGCATCGGCTATTTGTTTATATAATGTAAACTAGATTTGAACCTGTACTGCCAGGAGACTGTAGCAAATATTGCCAGGAAGTTTTTACCTCAGGATATTAAATACAGTTCAATTAGATATTCTCTGAAGGTTACCCGAATTGACAATAACTGACGAAGGCCGGAAGACACAGCGGCCGAAACTAACAATATAAATAAAAACCTCATTGTAATAATGTAAATAACTGGGAATTTATTAATTGGCAGATGTAAGGTGAAAATATCAAAATACTCAAAGTTCAAATACTCAGTTTGCGTTCACTTCACGCTGTTTCCCTCCAGCTATGGATTAAACAGAAGAGCACATTGGTCACCATGTCACGTTTGGCAACCAAATTCAAAATTGGATCGTATTTACGATTCCAATGGAATAAATTATGACCATGGAATATTAGTGTTTAAGCCTTTTTATTATATATATATATATATATATATATATATATATATTAGATCCGTGGCTATATAATCCGGATGGATCCTAAAATTATCAAACATTAAAACTGATTCACAAAAAGACATCAATGTATTTATTATAACACAGCAGATGAATTACCTCATTTGAGTATAGATTTATTTCAACCAACGGTAAGTACGATTGTTTATTCAATCCTGGTGGATAGTCTGTATTTGTATCGGAAGTTAAATTCTAAATATCTGATTCGGGTACGAATACACTCCATTCACCAGGGTTGAATAAGACCAACGCAGTTAGCATTGGTTGAAATAGATCTGTACCAAATGAAGTAATTTTGATTATTTGATGTGTAATATATATATATATATATATATATATATATATATATATATAGTTGGAGTGATCAATCCAATTAATATATTATCTCTATCTCTCATATTTTCAGTAAGTACAGAAATATATAATATACAAATATAATATATTGCACATATACATATATAAATATATATTCATATACATACACTTTTCATATATATATATATATATTTTTTTTTTCTTATTAACTACTTTGTTTTATTCTGCCGACGATTATATTTCTGAAGAAATGTCGACCGAAAGCACCTTAAATTAAAAATGTCGTGATGCTCTTGTATCCTATTTTAATAATAAATTATGTTCTCTTCCCTTAAGATTATTTTATCCTGGTGCGACAACAACACACTGTTTAAAAATATAATATATATATATATATATATATATATATATATATATATATATATATATATATATATATATATATATATGTGTGTGTGTGTGTGTGTGTGTGTGTGTGTGTATGTAAGTATAACATGACAAAGCTCTTAGCTCCTGATCTGAAGCGAACAATATTAATTCGTCCTCGCTCTGAGAGGCCATTAATAATTCTCTCCACTTCGAGTCTATAGTGCCAGCGATTCTCAACTACCTGGAGACGCAATCTTACCTCTGAAGGTACAGTTATAACCCCAGCTTATTTACAAATATTGTATGCCGATCAGCAAGTTACAGGCGAGACAAACAAAGCTAATTTCTATGTATCAAACATTTTTTTCCCGAGGAGATGGTTGTCTGTTACTAATCGATAGACTCACCAAGGTTAACTAGTTTTTTCTCTTTTTTAGCGTTTCTTTATATATTGTTTGTTTTTTTTCCATCCGAATAGGAATTAGCAAAAAAGTCAGTGAAACAGCTTCTAGTCTATTGGTGTTCCAGGAAGGAATTGCAGACTTTCTCATATTATTTCTTGGGAATTTTAATTCCAGCCATATAAGACGTATAATTTGTTTTCCTACATTGGCATCGTCTGTAAAGTAATAATAATATCAATTTACAATAATAAATTATATCCACTCCTCACTTAATGGCTTTCTTGTTTAACGTCTTCCAGACTTACGACCAACTATAAAATCCAATGAATGTAATAAAAATTAAATTCAGAAATGAATTCATTTATTACGTTTGCACGTTGTACGAAAACTTCGTTTGATCATGTTTTTTTTTTTTTTTTTGGTTTCGTTTGTTTAACTGCATATCAACTTCTTATGGATTATTTAATGCCAAAATTTTATTTTCTTCTGTGCTTTTCTAGTATTCTCCAATAATGTCTTGCTTGTAATTTCTTGTAATTTATTTTTTTATGTTCATCTTTTGATCTCAGTCTGGGGCTCACTATTTGCCCATAGGTGGACCTGAAATGGGTTAGGGTAGGCCTGGGAACAACAGCAATTAACATGCGATTCCAAGCTCCTCTGACCCTTTTAATAAGAGGCCTTACTATCGGATGTAGTTTGTCGGCATAACCTGGAGGATCCTTTTTTTTTTAATTTGTCAATCAAAATAAATAAAATGATTAACTAAAATAAAACAAATAAAAAAGTTACTTATATTGTATTAACAGTATGCAAACAAAGTAATGTAGGAAAAGATAGGACCGATTTCCGATCTGATTTATTAAGGCTACTGTTCAACACATTGCCGAACTGTATAAATATTTTAAAATAATAACTGTTTCAAATGGTGCAAATGTAACATTTAATCTGAAGTTGGTGGTATCAAAATCGTTATACACGTACAATGCCAGAAATTGCAGGCATGTACAACTTAGCGACCAGATTATTTAGCAACCAGGATTTTGAAATGGCACTCTGTCAATAAGTGAGGAGTAACTCAATTAATAATTAAATATTTGGAAATTATTAATATTAAACATTTTAATTAATAATCAGGTATTTTCAGGTTAATTTTCAGAGTAACACCCGCATTAAATTTTCCAGAATACTTACAGTTATGTGTAATTGTACATGCTCCATTCGAATCTGGCTTGATAAATTTGATAAAATCTACCGGAGTTATCTACAGTGAAAGTTAGGCTTCATTCACATCGCTGATGGGCAACCATTACTGCCGTTCTCTGCATACATTCGCTGCGGAAAGCTAAGCCCGGAACTAATATTTCTTGTCTAAATTTGTCTCAATTAGTGCGCACGAGAACTATTTACGTAGACACGCTCAGTTTGCGCATAGATACCTACACTGATACCAATTCAGCAGCGAATTTATTCAAAGAACGACAGTAATGGCTGCCAGCGACGCGAATGAATCCGAAATTTCACTGTCGATAACTCCAATGCGATTGATTTTATAAAATTTAACAAGCCAGATTCGAATGGAGCATGTAAAATTCCACATAAATATAAGTATTCTGGAAATTTTGAATGCAAACTAAATGCCGGTGTTACACTTCAAAATAACCCATTTTCAATTCTTATTACTCAGGCGCTGCCATCCATTCAAATAAATACACCAAGTATTTTTCTCTTATTGCTTTCTTTGCAATTCGCTTGCTTCTCAATTCTCACTCTCTATCTGTTTATGTATGTAAATGTCCTGTCATTTCCCATTCTCGGTGATGCTTATGTGCTCGGTTTACGGTCATTTCACGTTGAAACACCGATTCCCTTACAATCACCAAAGTTAAGCAACGTCGAGCCTATTCAGTACCTGGACTGGTGACTGTTTGTGAAACCCAGGTGGTGTAAGCTTCGATGTGCGGGTGGTGTAATCGATAACGATTCAGAATTATTAAACCGAAATCTGAGTTCTTGTCCCTGTTGGATTGGTGATATTAACTTACAAATAAATACACTCTTCTCATTCCAGCTTTGAATCAGTAAGACTTGTATTATTAAATCGTTATTATATCCCTCTACCATTAAAAAATTCTTAGAATCAAAAAATAGTTCAACGTGTTGATAATCCATAGAAAAGGAATCAATAAAACAATACTTACGTGTTCCTTCCATTTTTTTTCTGTCATTTGTAAAACCGTATCTATCGCTTTATGTTATTTTTCATCTGTACAGAAATTACCGAGATTTCTGTGCCACATCACCAGGCAGATACGATTATTTTCTAAGCGTTCTTTAGATGTGTCATAAAGACGAATGTATAAATGAAACAGTGAGCATCAAACTCAGAATTAAGTCATAATTCATCTATCGAGACAACTTTGCTCAAGATTATAAGACGTCGGCGTTCCCCTAAATGATATATATATATGATACAGGGTTTCTGCACTCTTTTCCTTTTATTGTGTTTTTAATATCTGTTTATTTTTAGATGATATATTTTGCTGTTTCAATGCACCTTCTGATTCGATTTTCGCGTTGTTGTCGTCTATTACTCTATATTAAGTAAATAGTTAAAATTCTTTACCTGCTTAATTTTGACGCTTCCAATCATAGATTTGGATTATTTCTGTCGTTAGTCAGCATTACTTTGCTCTCTTGTCTACGTTATTTTATTTTTGCCTTCAGAATTCACTGTAAACATAGTGGCATATGAATATCATATTTTACTATAATTATTTCAGCCAATAATAAATTCTGGTAACTTATACCAATTCTCCTAGGATCATCAAACCCGGTGAGAAAATTCCCCTTTGTTTCACACCGCTTTCTATTCTTGGGTAATTTTTCAAGCTGCATTTTCTCCAAGTTGACTGTTTGTTCCGAGTAAGTTTTATAAGTTAGGCTTATATCTCTCTTATATAAATAACACTTTCGTACCTCAGCGAGGTTTTGAGAATTACTCTGAATTCAAAAAGCAACCTGAGACAACTCTATTTTTCTCATTTCACAGATAGCATAAGAGAGTGCTTTAAACCTAAGAAAGTGTGGATCCGCCTTGAAAATATTTATTTGTCTGCTCTTGCCAATGATTATTTATATAGAGGTACATCTATCAGCCAGAAGCTAAGGTGAATCATTTAAATGATGTATAGATTCAACTTTGCACACGATTATACATCTAGTATCAATCATGTGAATTGCCTATCAGGTTAGTATCATATTCCCTTTTATTAATATGTGATACCATTGAAAACTTAGTATAATAAATTTCAGACAGACTACATGATACTCTTCGACAAATCATAAAAATATGGCGTATAAAATGCTTGATTATGAGAGACATTAATAACATATGTTAGATATTCAGTTTTCTCCAAGGCGATGTTGAAGTCTGGAAACATTAAAATAAATAATAATTTAGCATTTCGGTTCTGACATGAGTAATTGTCAATATATTTTTATTATTTCGAAATATTTCCTCATCTTAGGTTGATATTACTGCAAAGCACTGCAAATGATCTAAATCTGAGGAAAAATAGAAATCGATTACAGCGTGTCACTCCAATGGGTCCAACTCTGGCCGTATGATGAAAGAAAGGAAACTAAATCGATTGTTTCAGATAATTTGCGCAAAGATATATATATATATATATATATATATATATATAAATGTAAAAAGAACGAATAATAAAATTTCAACGTTCAGACCATTAATTTAAAAAGGGCTCAATACAAAAATAGAGCAATAAATATTTATTATGCACTGTTACATAAGAAAATGTAAATGTAAATTTACATTTTCTAATGTAATAGTGCATAATATATATATATATATATATATATATATATATATATATATATATATATATATATTATCATTATTATTATTATTATTTTAAAGGAACAATAATTGATTTCAAACAAGAAATCCACCAGGCTTTCATGTCCCGTGCGAGACCAATAATATTTGCTTTGTGTTCTGCTTGAAACCAAAAGAGATGTCTTCTGTTCATCAATATTGCTTACCTCAGGAAAACATACGAGCTAATGGGTCCAAACTTTTAATAATAATAAATTTTTAAAAAAATCAAGAAATAGAATTAGCTCATTTCTTCAAAATTAAACTGGAATTATGATGATCCATCAAGGAAGAATACTTATTTTCAAATTTACGCGAATTGGAAATAAATAAAATGTCAAGAGGCTCCCAAAGACATTCAAATGAATTCTTCCTCACAGAATATCTGAATAATAAGTAGTAGGAATAAAATCTACTATGAATATTTGCCGAACATTTGCTTAGGAAGGACATATTTATTGAAGCAAAGAAGGTCATAAAATTAAACTGGAGAAAATCAAGATGACATTTTCTAAGTGTTCTTGTGTCCGGAAGCCAAAAAGCCAAAATACCGCTAGGTTTCAATGCGACCGCATTCTTAGAATGTAACCGCAATGATTTTTATTAAATTTTCACTGCCGATCACTAGCCAATAAAAATTAGTTTCCAATTTTAAAATTATCGTCTGAATCATTGACCGTAATTGCCCAACCAATATGACGTTTTATTTCGTTAAATACATTTTGAATGTCGAACAGATGTCAATTCATTTATTAGAATTGAAGACTGACAAATTAAGGGAAACGTTGAATACTTTATTGAATGTTAATGATAACTCAGACATTTGTGAACCCCCACATCCACCTAAAATTTGGTTTCAGGATTTTATTTTCATGAATTAGAGCTACGAAAATTTGATCGAATTAGAATTCGTAATTTTTTCGCAATTTTTTCGCAAATGTCTGTATTTTATTTATTAATTTAATAATTTCCTATGTTCTTAATTAGTTACAAATTGTATTGTTTCTCCATAGACTTAGACAGAAATAATTTTGGTAGAATTGTTAACGATTCGGAGATACCAAAATCAAACAAGCACAACTATTGAAATATGAAGAGGTTTACCAGAGGTGGGAAAATGCGGCACTGATATCTGAAGGTTCATTGGGATAAAGAAAGATGCCTTCCAAAAGCTAAGCAAAGTATGAGTAAACAAAAAAATCAGAAACAAAGAAAAGAGTATTTACACTATTTACAGTGTTCTGAATGTTTTCATCTTATTTATTGGCATATTTCGTTCCGTTGTAACCTCTTGTCTTCAGGTCATAAACGTTAGAATTTCTGACAGAAGCCTTATCCATGGGTAGTATGTACTAATTGTCATGCCTTTGCATATCTGTTTTATTTAATTCCTATTGATATCTCAACTCTCTAAGTCTGAACACTTTGCGTCAAGTTACTTTTGGATCAATCTATCAACATTTATCCACTGGGTCATGTCCCAATGGATACACAAGCGAATTAATAATTGGGATTGATAAATATAATATTTCGTTTTTTACAAGAGCTTATGTTACAATTTTTTCTTATGCTTGTTTTACTATAGCTGTCTGTATTAATTGTTGTCATATTGTATTCATTTCTATGCTTGGGGTGTTTAGAGTTATTTAGCGTAGCATATGCTTACGTTTTCGTATTTTTCATTCATGCTCTCTCTTGGATTTCAGCTTCATACCACAGAGAGCCAAAAAGGAAATGGCCGCTCTCATGGAGAGTTGAGTTGTCTAGGAGAATTACCTAAAACTGAGATATCCAAAAGCATGGCAAAACTTGGAATTAGAACAATCTACCCCCGTGGACAAAATAAAGAGTTCGGTTCGAAATTCCAACGTATATCACCTGAATAAGGTCGGGACGTAAAACTGCCGGAACGTCGTAAATATGGCAGTAAAGACGAGGACAATATAATGTTACAATACCTCATCTCAGAAATATGGATAAAGAAAAGAGTACTGAACTGTTACGTCGTACATGGTAGTGAAAGCTAGACAATCTCTTCACAGATGAAGAAGACAGTTGAGGAAAGGGAAATGATTCTACAGAAGGACGTGGAGAATACAATGAATCAGACATGTGAGCAACGACGAAGTTTTAGAAAAAAAGACGCGAAATGAACAAATTGACTTGTAATACGAGCTCTGGTACAAATGGCCTTTATTTTTTTTAAAGTTGTGTGAAATTCTTCACAATTTTCAATAATTTTTTCATTAATATTTTATCAGTTTATCTGTGCTGTTATTATCATCACAAATTATCGATTATTCATACGAATGTTAAAGGAATCAAAATGAAAACAGAATAAATTCCATCGTATAATGATGGACAGTGGAAAACAACACATGGCCTAACTAGAGAACGGAATGCGGAACAATGTTTAGGGGAGATAACAAAAAGATAAATTTTATTAAGAAGTACAAGGTAGAGGAAATCGTGGAGAGACATGTTCGCTAAAGCCATGTAGGGACACAGAACACGGGAGAGTTGGCAATGAACATGTATAACTTTAAGGTAGAACATAAGGTAAAAAAGTTTAAATTTAATTCTCAGGGAATATTATATTTGTTAGAAAATTCTTGATATGAGACATGTCCCTATGAGATGAGCATTACAATATTTTGTTATGCTGCGGACATTTCGTTCTGAATCTGAAATAGAATTCTATTTCCAATTCGATTAAAAATCCTTTAGATTAACAGGAGCACGAGACGAATTTATCTGGAACGACATTTTTCTGAAATCGATTAGGGTTATTCGTTTTGAATACGTGAAATGTGAGAAAACTTCTAGAAACAAGACAAACTAAAAAAGACACTAACTGCTAATATATATATATATATATATATATATATATATATATATATATATATATATATATATATATATATATATTATTTACAATAACAGCCACACTTTTTCAAGGCCCACTGGGCACTCGAGGTTGAGGTGACGTTAGGAGGCAATTTGTGAATATAGAGGTGGAAGATAACTGTTTACTTTTGAATAGACTAGGG